GTGCATCGAGGCAGTTCCCAAATTGATAAAATTTCTTCAAATGACGTACTACAAAACGTACTTTTGTTCTTCTTGAATTAATTGAATGACAGAAATTTATTGCAAAATAATTATTTTATTTCAAATATAATTAAAAGTATAAACATCATTAAAATGTTTAAAAATGTGCGTTTATGCATCTTTGTATAACACTACACCATACTCAGGGAATTGTGTACGGCTCTGTCAAAGCCGTGTATTGTGATACGTATAATGACTCCGTGGTTTTAGCCCGCAAGCGAACTATGCCGACCAAGGGACAGTCGCTTGTCGGCGAAGTTAGTGCCATCTTTGACGGACAGATGGTGCGACGTCGTTGGCGCAACGAATCCCCACAGCCGTTAATTTCGGTTTTCTAGACCGGAATCGCTATTTCCTTCAAATAACTCCTCATTTATTCTCACGAAGCTGAGTGGACCCCCTTGCAGACACACTACTTATCAGAAATTCTAGTAGCGTCGGGAATCAAACCCGGAACCTCTGGATTTGTAGCCAGAAACCCTGACCACTAGACCACAGAGACGGTCATTGTGATACATATATTAGATAAAATTTTGCTGCCAAATCCGTTTGGAGTTTTCCTCTTATTTTTTTCTTTTATCTTCTACCTCATCCTTACTGAACAATGTACGTTGTGTGGTTTAGATTCCCTCCAAGTGGAGTAGACCTCCAGAGATGTTACTTCTCCGCGTGTGCGTATTTAAGCTTCTGGTTTTACTCTGCTACCTACCCAGAAACTTTCCGATGGTATTCATATGCGGCGTCGCTTTTAAGGCAGTTTAGTTTCGTGATTTATGGTCAGACGTTAATATTAAGACAACCTTGATAGTGGAATCCACATGAGTATAGGATCCTGCCCCTGAAATTTTCCAGATGTGTTGTAATGTATACAAGAGAAAGCATACATTGGCCAGAGCATGTTTTATGTTCAAGTCGCCAAAACAATTACAGAAATGCATTCGCTATTTTATTGAGAAGTTTATTTTTATGTGCCATTTAATTTGCTCCCCTGGCATTCTAGTCGTGTGTAATCAGTTGCTTTTCTGACTCCTGATCCTATATTGCCTCAGGAATATACTTTTTTTTATCGAAGTACATAATTCAGCTACAGCAAATTTCCTAAATTTTCCAAGCGTAGCTCTTAGTTATACGTCTTAATTATGTGTATAATATATTATGTAAATATAACATAGAATTATATATATTAAATTCATACACGCCATGCTACTCGCTAATTCAAACCTTAATTCAGAGTACAGGAAGTTGAGGACCAAGAAAATTTAAAATTAAAACATTAATTTATAATCTTTCAGTTGTAATATAGGCCAAAAATTTTTAGTGCCGTAATAAAGCCGATGTATGTACATTAAGTGTTTGAATTACAGGAAGAGTTCTTAAGAAAGTTGGATAACGTTTGATCCTGTAAGGCTTTAGTCCGTAATCTTAAAAGAAAAAGTAGCAAAGAATTTGTGAGTTTTAAATTGTTGGTGAAAATGTGAACTAAACGAAAGTAGAATAAATTTAAAAAATAATTTACTTATTTAAATTATTTAAATGTAAATTTAACCATTAATAAGCAATTCTTTTCAACTAAAAAGGTTCCGGTATTTTATTATTAATTAATTTCACCTTACTTTTGCCATAACTCATTTTCTCAAGTGAGTTTATTTACATTAACCTGTCATTTTCGCATCTACAGTACATGAGATTCATAGTAGGCGAATATATATGCTACTACTACTACTACTACACTACTACTACTACTACTACTACTACTACTACTTCTGTCTGTTCACAGAACAGGTTGATTATTTTACCTCGATCTTTATCAAGAATCTGCTAAACTTCCACGTAATGTATCAAAAAATAAGCTGAGCTGTTCTGGACCCTCTGCACGATATAATTGGCTATAATCTCGGTCTGCTGTTGTCCGCGAATTATGAAAGTTATCTTTCACTTCTTACTGTTTTCTGGTGTACCTCAAAATTCCACCTTAGCTCCCCTTTTATGTAATACATATGTATAAGTCAGAATTCATTACTGGAATTTTTATTTACCGAAGACTTGAAAATTTATCGAGTGATGAAGTCAGCAGAAGATTTCATATGTTTACAAGCCATATTTTTAGGAAAATATATGTTTTTAAATTTACATAGATGTCAACATTCAGAAAACTAGTGTAGTTTTAATTCATTATAAGGCCAGTAATGTCCATTTAAATCATCGCGTTGTTCTTAATACAGTTTACATACTGTTCAATTCGACAGTAAACTCTATTGACATCAACATGCTAATTGCATTCCTTCTGAGGTTCTACAACTTCCAGTGCTTATTCGTTTCGTAAAAACAGTTCTTCTTTCACTGATAAGGTTAAGTTTTTGTACGTCGCTTACTTAGGTCAGAGCCTGAGTTTGCCTCGGTCGCCTGGAACAGCATGACGTTGGTATATCCCAACGAAATTTAAAATTTACTAGAGGAATTTACAAATTTATGTTACCGCCTATTTGATGAATTTGATTTTTCTCTCAACTACGAGCATGAATTTGATATTATTTATATCACATTATTCCAAACCACAGCATCCTGATATATTTGTTTTTAATAAATTAAAATAGAAATTAGAGAGGCTCTGTACCGTGGGCAGCCTCGGTCTCTGTGTATAAGGGACGTTTCCACTTTTACTATATGAAATAACGTATGAGCCAGCCCTTCAGCCGTTTGTGTCGATGCTGCTAAAAACATATCAGTTCCTCGATTTTGTGACAGGATAGATTTTATTTGCATAATTCTGGTTAAATTGTTACCTCTTTTTAGTTTATCTTTGCATTTTCTTCTATTTTTTTTTGTGTTCAGTAGACTAGTGTTGTTAGAAAGAACTCTAAAATGAATTGAATTATTATTAATACTATTATTATTAACAATTTAAGTTTAAATTGATGTAACAATTTGTTTCGATTTTTGTCCTTTGCTCGTTTGGTTGTAGTTTTTTTCCATATGTACTTGTGTAGCTCTTTGTATTCGT